AATCGTCAGTACCAAAAATATATATGTCCAAGAAATATTAGTGAGGATGTCACAAACGCTGAAAAACGCTGAAAAACTACAGACAGAGTGACTCCAAAATCATTTTTCTTATAAAAGCATTTTGCCTATGGCACCCATTGCTGCTTCATCCTCTCCTTATAATGAACAGATTCCTGGTAAGGATAAAATTAGATCACATAAGTGATACTAGAATCATATGTACAGAAAATGGATTTGATTTTGAAAACAAATGTTATTCTGTACTTACTAACAGATTGTTTCTAATCTTTCTATAGAATCCAAAAGGTTTATGATCTGCATTGTGTTTCTAATAGATAATTTTCTACCTCCTCCTATGATTGGCACTTAATGAATGATGAAACCCAGCCAACTTCACATGGACTGTGTTATTAATTTGCATGCAAGTATGGAGAAATAGAAAATTATGGCCTTGTAGATTTCCTAGATTATGAGCATTTTTAAAATGTTATCTAAATTCCAAAGTCACCTAAATACCTGAAGTCACAGTACCATTTGCTAGCTTACTATTTTCTATGAAAATATCTACACACTTTTGTTATTGACAAAGATCTGAAAGTAGTCAAGAAAAAATAGAGGGGTTTACCCACTTCCTGTAGTGGCTGAGCAATGTTTGCCAGTTGTAACACAGTATCAGAGTGATAAAATGCAATTTCTAAATGCGCTTATTTTAAAGCAATTTAAAAAAGACCAAACACATAAAAAAATTTCTAGCTTGTGAAAGTGTCAGTCTCATAGGAATCTAAATTTCAATATAACCTGGTTTTCACTGGGGAAAGAAAGATATTTGGAAACTTTCCAACCAATGAGACATCTCTAGGGAGAATGCAGTCACAGGACAGGGAAGTTCCTGTAATTTATATGCTGTTTTCCCAAATTGTCTTTGGCACTCCAACTTGAGTCTCCTATGTGACAAAAAAAGTAGCAGAAAAGGAATGGCAAGAGCCCAGAATGAGGAATTTGTGCCATGGGTTGCAAGAGAACATGAATTAGTTTTTTCAGCAGCCAGATTTTTTCTTTATCATGTTTCTGGCTAACTTCACAGAGAATACTGGAAAAATATACTTTGAGCACTTGTTTCTAATTCTGTACATTCCCCATATGCACCCATAGAGGAGCAGACACATGCAAACATGAAAATAGCTCCTTAATAATGGCTGTTCTATTGAAAAATGTTCTTTTTTTTTTTTTTTCCTAGTATTTTAGAAATAGGTCTCAGAGGAATGGTTTCACTTCAGTGTCACAGGTCATCAACCAAAATTTTTTATTGTATTCGTACAGAAGACATCTGTGGCTTTAAATCTCTGGGGAAGAAGCTGAGCTGTTGTTTTTTGGGGGTTTTTTAACAGGAGACTGGGAAGGAAAATTTAAAATAATATCAAAATAAAAAGGTGACAGAAAATCTGTTGCTAAAGGGTTAAATCCATCTTGCTTATTTCAAGTGTAAGTCTGTCTTTATCACCATAAGAGTGGAAGCTGTGCTTAATTCTAAGCACATGCTATGCTGCTTCCAAGCCTAAACTCTGTCAGGTTGCTCTAAACTCAGTAGGCTTGCATTGAGATAAGGAGGGAAATTTGGCCATTGGGGTGTTTGTGTAAATCCGCTACTGAAAAATACAACCTCAGATTTGACAAATATGTGCTTTTCATCCTTCACCCAGGGCCGCAGCAAAGTATATCTACACTGAAGTCGCAACCAAGGCTTTCCTTGTAGAAAGTGTAAGGCTACATGGAGAGGAGGTGGACGTGCTGTGATTTCCCAACAAATACAGAACATTTGCTGGCAAGCCTGAGAATCATCTTACCACTGCTTGGCAAACATATTCATCATGTTGCACCCCTCAGAAATTTCTAATGTTTGTTTGTGAAATAAGACAGACATCTTTTAAGAAGACATGACTCTCTTCAAAGTAATTTGAGATTGAGGGAGGAATTAGAAATAAAGGAAAGGAAAGGAATTAGACATAAAGCTGGCTAGAGCATGTTTTTGCACTTTCCTCATTAAAAATATAGATCTGCCAAAATGAGAACATTTTATAGAAGTAGTTCATCTTGACCAGCTCTTGACCTGAAACTATTTGTGTACCCTTTCTTCTGGACTTGTTCAAAAGGTACCACTATAAAATTTTCTTCACAAGATTTTTTTTTCCAGTTCAAAAGGTTTTTTTACATAGAAGTAGTCTTTATTCAATTACATATTTTCAAATTAATTTCTGACAGAGTTGGTTCATTTGATACTACTGAAATAGAAACATTTAATGGGTTTGAAAGCATTTGCAGAATTTCAGTTGGTAGTTTTTGAGAAAAAAAGGTAAAATGTTAAATAAGAATGGTAGAAAGATCAGAAATCTAAACAAAAATCAAAGGACTTCCTATATGAAAAAACCTCAGAGGGAAAAGTGAGAATGTCATTTGACCCAGCAGTTACATACTGGAGGGTGAGATTTTGCCTTCGACACCCAGTTTCTAAGTCCTGATGAAAATGATCACGAAACAATTTTTTTGTGTTCAATAAATTGTGGTCATGGTAAAAATTATTTGCATCATAATGGCAGTCACAAAGACACTGGGATACAGTGTCTGATGGTTAAAAAGACACCGGTTGATTTCTAGCAATCTCTTTGATTTTTATCACTTCATCTCTTTTAGTACAGTGGTCCACTGAATGCTCTGAAAATTAAGGGAGGAGAAGTGCCCATAAATTGCTAATCCAGCCTGGGGTTTCCATCTTAAAGAGTCTGAGATTTCTGTAGGGAAAAGAAGATAATTTCGTGAAGTTGAATTTGCTCTATGAACATCATGTAACACAACTTTGTGTTTAGAGACATCTCTGCGGGCTCTGCTGGGCATCTTGCTGCATCTTGCAGCAATACCAATTAGGGCTGTTAAACTTGTTTCTGTCTGGTAAAATGCCATGCAATAGTGTGCTGGTTTAAAGGTAAACCGGCAGGGGAAATGAACCCAACTCAAAAGAGAGATTATAAGTCAGAATGACAATTTAATAAAATAATACAATAAGTACGATTATACAGACAAACAATTGGTCTTAACCCACAAAATCCAAAGGTATAACCCAGCACCCTGGGGCATGAACAGAGTGGTGTTCATTGGGCCCCCTGAGTCCAAAGTAAAAGGAGAGGGAAAACCTGTTGGTGAGAGTGCTGTTGCAGTCTGGTCAAGAGTGGTGATTGCAGTCTGGTTGAAAAGTGGTGGTTGCAGTCCAGTCGAGAGTGGTGGTCACAGTCCTTCTCTGGATCCCACAAGTGGTAAAAAAGTCCCAAGACTCCAAGATTATATATATCCTCAGGTTCAGGCAGGAATGCCCAGTATCTCCCTCAAGGCGGGGAGTTCCACAATGGGTGTGAGGATAGGAGCAACCTCCTATCTCGCAGGCCTCTTAACACCCAGCTTATAGCCTGAGGAGTCAGGCATGCTCTGGGCAGGTGGTGTAAATGATCTATTGATAACAGTTTCTGGGAAATGGCATGGAAGGCTATAGAATACACAGTTTTGGGTTACACCCACACAGTGATGAACTGGTCCCAGCTGTTCTAACTAGGACAAATGCAAACCAGTTAGTGCTGCACACCAGGAGTTTAATGGAGCTCCATGGAACTCCATTGTGCTTACACAACTTCTAGTTTTGTACACCTAACCTCAAGCATGTGCATTGAGGGATTGCAAATGGACTGAAGATACATGTGAAACCAGCATTTTGTGTTTTGGACTTCTTCATGGATGGAGTAGGAAGGCAAAAAGTGTAAGAAAAGATTGGGAGGAAGAAAGGGGGAAGGTCAAATTACTTAATGAAATCCTGTCTTATTAATGTGTATTCACACAGGATGAGTAGCTTCCCTCCAGGAGATGCAGAACTCCAGATTGGATTCCTAGGTTTTTCCTTGATCTTTTTTTTTCTAGTCTCAGTATTGGTTTAGTTAACCTACCTGACCACAGTTGCATGATCTGGCTATTTCATCAAGTCTATCCAACTTTGACCTGTCAATACACATGAAGGGAGACATCATGAAGGCTTTTCTATTCAGGATTCCTGTTCAAAGGGCTGCTTAATGGCATCCTTTCCTTCATGGGTGCTGCTTTCCAAGTTTGTAGCATGTGTTGAGAAGAGATCTTTTACCCTCCCTGCCTTCCCCCATGAGGACTGACTTTGGATGGCCATATGGAATATATAATATTATTGAGCAAAGTGGTACGCATACCTTAATACACATATGCCAAGTTGCTAAACCCCTTATTTTACAACAGGTGCTATATAGTGACAGGGAAATGAACTTACTTGCCCAAAACACTTAACGGAAGTTGGAGGCTGAACCAGGCTGAGAATATGAGATTTGCCCTGGGTGATACCCACTCTGACTGGTACGCTCAATATCACTGGTATACTGGGGTTATTGAAAGTGGCCTTGCTCTCAGCTGAAATGGCACACCCTGCAGCAGTTGTGTGTTTGGGAATATTGTGTTGCTGAGAGCAGCTTTGCAAGTTTGGATTATTTGTTTGTCAGGTTGTTAATTTTTTTTCCAGTCTGACAAGAGCAGTTCCATAGGGTTTGACTATGTAATTTTCATTAGTTTTCAAGTGCTGAGTTTGTTTTTTTAGCTTACCTGACTTTTAAAAAGTCTTATTTGTTCTTCGGATTGATGTTTGAGAGAACTTTGTGCCATTTCCATGAGTCATGAAGGCACCAGGAATTTTTACTGTTCTGATAAACTCTGTGGTTGCCACATCCTTGGGCACCTGACTGAAAATTGGGCAGGCTGTTTTTTCGCAAGACATCTTGTCCTTCATACCTGTAGAAGATGGCATGAAATTACAATGTTTAGGCAGTCCAGTTTTGGATGTCATTGGGACCTCTTCCCAGTCTGTCTCTGCCTCATCCTTCAGGGTTGCACAGAGTATTCTGCATTCATTTATGAATGCATGAATTCATGTATGCACAATCAGGATGGCTTGTGGTATCAGCAGGATGGCAGCTCCCACAATAGGTGCCACAGGCTCTAAAATCTGTGCCACATCAACTGTGTGAGTACACCACTTTAATTAAAAACTCAACAATACAAAACTTCCTGAACATGTCTGTTCTTGAAACATTTGTGTGATACAGAGTAGACAAAGTACTTGAAAAACAAGATTTTTTTTTTTACATGACTGGGTAGGGATTATGAAAATATCAGCCCATGTTAGGCAAATGTTTGTCCTCTCTCCTTTGGTAACAGGAAAGCTGTGAGAATTTTTCAGAGCTGTCGAGGTGAGATGGGAGAACTGCTGTAGACTCTTACCTGTCCCTCCTCTGGCTTCTGAAGAAGCACTAGGTCATGCTCTGTGGTATCTGTGTTGGCCCAGGTAAGCCTTGTTTACTTTCCCTTTTTCTTTATTGAAGCTGCATATGTATTGTAAGCCTGCCCCAGAGAAGCACTGCTGGCAGAAGGGTGATGCCAAGGGTATCTTTTGAGGACAAAACTCCTTTTCTGTTGTTCTACTGTGTTCAAACACATCTAATAGAGAGGGAAGGTTTGTTTAACAGAGCAGAACTGTCTCTTGTACCATATTTCTCCATGTACATTGGACAATGCCATTACTAATGGCTAAAGCTTGAAGCTTATGTCACTGAGTAATTAAATATACACTATCTAATGATACCACTGTCAAGGATAGTGAGCTGTGTAGTTTTATTGGTTCGTATAAAGTCCAATTAAGTTATTGACTTATTAACTAACTCCTTTTCTCAGACATAGAGATAGGATTAGCAATTGCTTAAATGAAATCTCTGATTGACTAAGGGACATAAAGTCTGGGCTACAACACAAAAGATTACATGTACTTACAGTGTCCCCCCCTGCCCAGCCCAGTATGCAAAATATGTTCTTATCAACAGCGAAGTAAAATGTTTTCCCTCAGGGTTTCCTGTGCCAGTTAATGGGCAAAGTTAATGTTCATGAAGGCTAGCAGAGTCTGATGTGGATGAAGCCTGAACCAAATTCTCAGTGGTTAACTTTCAATTTAATTTTGTAACCTCAGAACTAGATCTGAAGTGACTGTCAGTTAAATCAGGAGTAATTTGGGGCAATTTTTGTAAATTTTTGGTAATTTTTGTCTACTGTTCTATGAAAGAGAAATCAGTTGAAACTTCGTACTGCAGAGAGAAAAAAGGGAGTAATTATAGTTAAACACTTGTCAGAGCAATTCTGATGAACATGTAGTATCTCGAATCTGAAACAGAAGGTAAACCTCATCTGATTTCTTTCTTTATACACTGACATATAGCAAGCATGCCAACTTCTGAGAGAAGTCAGCCAGGCTGTCCTGTGAACCAACCTAAAGCTATCTGAATCTGCTCCAAAACCATGACAAAATTGTGTAGGACTAGCTACAAGCAAGCTGATTCAGTGTTTGCTTCTCTGTGTTAAGCTGTTAGTGACATATTAGTGAAATGCATAACCATACTATAATTTTTTTCTAACCATTATCATCCTAATAAGAAACCTGAGCCCATATGTAAGGGTGGGATAGGTATAAAGGTATCAAGATTCCACTTGAACCATATTGCAATAAATAGCAACAAATGTAAAAACAGTTTGCCCTGAATGCCCCTCACAAGGTTCATTTCACATTGCAAGGACCAGTACACTTAACTATTGCTGTAACCCTTATGACTTACAGATACTAATTTTGTCAAGAAGAAAAAAAAATTCTGAATTGCAGTTCTGCAAATTTAGCCCTGTCCATAAGAGTGAGGGTAGTTATTCCTGGCTCTGATAATGCTAAAAATAAAAATACAGGCCATTTACCTCTTCTAGAATATCTGCCTGATCCTCTTTTGAAACCAGTAGAAATAGTAGAATATCTACCTTTTATAGATTCAGCATTACTCTATAGAATTCACTGTCATGCTGGTGTGAGGAGACAGGGAATACTGCTTTTCCCATCCTCCTTGAGGTTGTGTACAATTACTTGAATTAAAGCAACAAAATGTTTTTTACTCAAGTGAACAGAGGACCGAACACACAGAAGGAATAGACCTATTAACTGGAGGACAGAGCCCAAACTTATTTTCAGACATTAAAAGAAAGAGTGCTTCTTATAGATTATTCACTGTGAGTCATTTTGTCATTCAAGAGACTTACCACACTGACTGCCTCACTCATCTTTACTGGTTGGTGCACTATTGTTTAAAGAAATGCCAAGAAAACTGTTTCCCAAAAAATTTTGTTGCAGAGGAAGAAAAGGATCCCACAGGACAGGAGGATGGGACTAACAGTAAACAAAATGCTAAGATGTTTTCAAGAAGACTTACTTATAGTCAGGATTTAAAATTGCTTTGGTTTGACAGGACAGGCTGGCACTGGGATTTTCTATGCTTTCCTGTTGCTGCTGCAGGGTCCTTATGGAAGAGCACTAAGAGCAGCCCAAGGGCAACCCATCCCCATGCCACACTGCTGCAAGGGAGCTGTTGTAGGCATGCAGAGATTGCTGCCGGTGTAGGTATTTGTTCCCATTTCAAATTCTACCCTCATCCGTCTTCTTGACCTGCTTCATGGACTAATGCAGAAATGGAAGAGGAAAGAATAGATCCAGGGCTTTATTTCATTAACAGGAGCTCCAAAAAGGTAGGGAAATACTGAAGCATGTGTCCAATCATGCTTACACAGGTATCATGCAGCCAGGGCAATATTTCTGTGTTTTACACCTGCCCCTTTCTTTGTCCCTCTCCCCAGTAGCACAATCACTGAAAGGCCTGGCAAAATCTGTCCCATCAGTAGTTAGCACTAGGGCTGCTGGAAATGCCTGAAATAATCTTCAGGGTATGTGAAGGTCTTGGTGATGTTTGTCTGCTTCTAAAACTGGTCTCAAGGGCATATATTACTTTGCTGCTAAGGCATCTGAGTTCAAGGAGCATGCTGAGGTGGGACGTAGGAGTAAAGAGGTAACTTAACCCATTTGCCAAACTCAGTTTTCTTTGCTTGGAGTATTTGCTCAGGGATACAACAGCAGTGACCTTGAGCTCCCCATGACCACAGTGGTAGAAATTACATTCAAGTATAGGTATAGTGCCAGCTGCTTGGTTTAGAAGAAAGGAAAGAAGAAAAGACATCTGGGGCAAATGTTTTTCTCACTTACTGACAGCAGGAGGAAACAAATCTGCTGATGTGAGTGGGATTATATTGGTGCAAATCTACTATTTTAAGGACCCTTTGGCGGGCAACTGAAGGGCTGGTGGTCCTTATTAGTCCCCCATACCCACAGAGAATGGTGGTGTGAGAACAGAGGGGATCTGCCTGCACCCTTCTTATCGAAGGAAAGCAACTTAGGTGGTGCTGGTGCCCTGTCACCAGTTGTGGGCCACTCTCCTGAAGTGGGGAGACAAGGAGAGTGTCCTGGAATGATATAGCTGCCTTAGCCCCATCAAGAGATGTGCCTAGTCCAGTGCTAAGGGAGGAAAATATTTTTGCCTGACATCTGATCTACTGTTCTGATTCATCTGTGCCTAAGGTCCTTTGGAAAGAAAACCCTTGATTCTTGTATGTGGGCTAATGATTTGGAATCCAGTTCTTTTATTGCCAAACTGATGGCACTTTTGCCAATTCTATCCGTAGAAGCAGGGGCACACCATTTGTATTCCATATCAGTTGAAATAATAATTATATATGACCATATATCTGGCAAAGCTTAAAACAATAATAAAAAAAACCCCTAAACTAACGATCTAGCAAGCTAATAGCCAAACAATCATACACGATTTCTTTTAGGGAAATAAGACAATTTACCTCCTGCTTAGAGGACTGCTCATATAACTGTATTTTTTATAAAATTAAAGTATTTTATATAGTACTTCTGCAGAATGAAGAGGACATTCAGCTAGATAAAAACTGTTGCAAAAAGACAACAATCCTAAGACTTGACCACTTCTTAACCCATTCCAGTGCTTGTGGAAATCCCTTATTCCAGATTACCAGCATATTGATTCAGCTCTAGTACCCCAGGGGGATAGACGGAAAGCTAAATGGTTGCCATACCTATCTGTTAGATATTTCACATTAGGTAGCACAAGAAATGCCAGTTGTTCTGCAGATGTGTGCGATTCTGCCTCTTCCTTCTTCATCTGAAATGCAACATCCATTACCTTTGTTCTCTTGGTAGCTAGCACAGACCTAAAGCTATGGTTCTTTTTCTTGTGACAAGGAAGATCCTGAGACACTCTGTGGCCAGAATATCAAGTTGTGTGTCCTTCACTGATCCTGGTTGTTTGCAATGCAAATGGTAGGCTTTGTCTCACATAGTGCCATATCCATGGTAACCAAATGAAGACAAGTTTGCATTACTTCCTTAGTAAAGTGTAATCCTCCCCCTGGTACATGTGCCAAGGAAGCATATGGACATAAAGGGATAGCAATATATTTTGTGGAATGGGAAGCAACCAAAGCACCTTCTGGTTTTTTTTTGGTTTTATTTTTTTTTTTTTGTTTGTTTGTTTGTTTTTGTTTTTGTTTTTGTTTTGTTTTTGTGGGTTTTTTTGTTTGTTTTTGTGTGGGTTTTTTTGGGGTTTTTTTGGTTTTGTTTTTTTTTTTTTTTTGTTTGGTTGGTTTTTTTCATTTTTCCCCCGTGTCAGTTATTGTTGCACTCATTCCTCCACCCTCTTTTTCCTATCTTACCTTTATCTAGAATTCCCATTGTTAAAAATTAGACTAGTCCTGATTTCTGCTTTCCCCTTGCCTAGAGGCTAAGCAAACAATCATCAGGTCAAACTTCCAGCTTAAACACCACTTCCTGGCAAACAGCCCTTCCTTACTCTTCTTGGTATCTTTAAAAAAAGACAAACCGACATATTTTTTTTTCATAGCATCAGAGACTGTTTCTTTCGACCAGCTTTTTTAGCAAAGGGAACAGACTCAAATTGAGTGTACTGCAAAATTATTTCTGTTGATACTGTTTTCACTGTTGTTGTTTTGTTTTCTTGCTTTTGACAACCTGTGCGCTGAATTTATGTTCTTCCCTTTATGTATCTGGGAGGCTTAAAATATGCTTCTTTCCTACTTCAGCACAGTCTCATGCTGTTTGAATACGAGAAAGAACTTCTTTACTATGCAGATGGCCAAGTACTAGAACAGATTGCCCAGGGAGGTTGTGGAATCTCCCTCACTGGAGATATTCAAGGACTGTCTGGATGCAATCTTGTGCAGTGTGCTGTAGAATGACCTTGTTTGGGCAGGGAGGTTGGACCAGATGATCCAGTGTGGTCCCTTCCAATCTTACCGATTCTGTGATTGTGTGAAACATCTTTATTTAGTGTTATCTGCAATGTTTCTTCTCAATAAGAATGAGCTCACCTGGTGATTAAAATGCAG